CTAGCAGCTCATCGCGATGAGACCGAAACTCGCGCCGGTACAGCAGCAACATAGTTCCTCTCAGTTCCACAATACCTATCCTATCACAATATCTCTCAGCACACAGCGCCCGCCCGGCCGTCTGCTCCAGCGAGCCTCCGCTTTGTTCCACGCTGCCCTGCGACGGGGCCGGCCGGAGCGCGGGCTTCTCTTTGTCCAACAGACCCTTGTTATGCTGGTGGTCGGGCCGAGCCTCCGGGACCGGCCATGGTAACAGCTGGGACGCCGCCGCGCCCGTCCCGGCGACCGACGCGCCGGGGTCATTAGGGCCCTGGCCGGCCCTACAGGGGTGCAATTTCCAGGTAACAGGCAGCCAATTTACCAGCGAGGTCCATCCACATAAAAACGCCAGTTTCTCGTCCGCAGTTTGCCCGCAGCGCCGCCGATGATGGTTGGGTGTCCAGAGTGACGCACAAAAGAGCGCCTGTTCTACGCAGCCTTCGACTGCGCGGAGGATCTCTCGTAACAGCCAGGCCAGCCTGAAAAATTAAGCATTGCAGCCGATACGCGGCTATTTGCGGACTATAGCCATACGGCTTCATAAATTATTTTGATCATAAAAAGGACCACACTCGTGTCAATGGTAGTTCGTCCGGCGATTTTGGTTTTTGAGTAAACATTGTCTTGGCATCAAGGAGGTAGTCACCTAATAAATTGTTTTTGAATCTTGTTTCCGAATTGTAGTATTTCGTGGCCTTATGTCACCCGTCAGTGCTGCCGTCTGACGGGTGACCTTGGAGGGCCGAGCGGCCGGGGTCAGGGACGAGGGCAGTCTTGGTGCGGAGCTCGCGGTGGACGCTCGGCTGCGGTGTTGTTGTGCGTTATGTCGTTTTATTAATAACTGTCTTGACTTCGTGTGTTCTGCCAATACACGGCAAGACAGTACACGAATAAAGGTAACATTGTTTGCCTAACAGCGGAGTAGAAACCCTTCTCATATAGCCTTGCCCTTCTCCCAACTCGTGGCACTACCGGATTGCCCACCTGCCACCTGGCCGCACCAACACATTTCCTGAACCAGACTGAATAAATAGTTCATGCTGACTAACATTATAACGGGCCCGCATTGACGAACATGGGATTCCACTTGGCGTGGTCGTGACATCCTCATCGAATTTCAATTCGAGGCAGCGGTGCCGAAATCAGCAGCTGCCGTCTTTTACGACCCTAATGACGTCGCGGGCTGTTAAAATAAGACGAGACCTTTTAGAACGGGCTACCCTGGTTTTAGCGTTCAAACGGCATAACAGTCCAAAATGGTTCTCGCTCATCGTGATTCCAACCATGTTTTGGTGTCCCTATGCGGCGTTGCAGCTCATGGAGGTAGGCGACTGTGTCCTAAAACTCCTGATGCTCACCATCACATACTGTCGACTAAGAATTCAATTGGTTTTCAGAACGTCGTGAAAAAATATTGTCTTGTCCGGACAAGTGAGAACTTTATCGAAAAGAATAAGCGTATATACCGTCAGCCATCAGGGGACGGATGCCCGAGGGTGGGCGCAGTTGGGCCAGGGAATGAACGGGACCGGCACAACAGCCGCACATATAGCTGAGGCAGAGCTGAAGATGCTGCTAAAATGCAAACAAACAGCCACTAACTAGGTAACGCCCTCGTGGAATGGTCTTGAACGCCCTCGTGGAATGGTCTAGAACTTGGCAGCTGCCATTTAACGAGAATAAGTGCAAAGTGCTTCATGTTGGTGCAGCCAAGGACCACCACTCATTTCAAATGGGGTCGGACAGACTGACAAACACGTCAGTCGAGAGAGACCTGGGTGTGCAGGTCGACTCAATCTTGAAGTTTCGACAGCAAGCGTCTACGGCGGTCTTCAAAGCGTCTCAAGTTCTTGCCGTCATCCGCCGGTCCTTCGCCTTTTTAGATGAATTTACCCTGCCTCTTCTGTTCAAATCTCTCGTGCGGCCTCACCTGGAGTTCAGCAGTCTTGTTTGGGGTCCGTTCAATAGACCTGATCAGAAGGCAGTCGAAAGGGTTCAAAGAAGAGCCACCCGGTTAGTGGTGAGCATCCGCCACCTTCCATATCCTGAAAGGCTGAAGAGACTGAAGCTCCCGTCACTGTACTATCGGCGTAGACGCATGGATATGATTCACGCATACAAGATGTTGCACGGCCACGTTGATACTGATCCTTCAGAGCTTCTGGCAACGAATCCTGAAAGGCGAACTCGGGGTCACACACTTAAACTACGGAAGCCTCGTGCAACCTGCCGTGCCAGACTGAATTCATTTTCTGTGCGGTGTATTAACGATTGGAACGGGCTTCCAGCAGAAATTGTACATTCGCCCTCAGTCAACGTCTTTAAGAACAGGCTGGATGCACACTGGGAGTCGATCTGGTACTCCACTCCTGTAACAGACTGAGTACTAAGTGAAGTTATGGAAATCGGCGAGAACGGGCCCTACAGGACATCGTGCCTCTTGCCCCGATAACACGAAGATGAAGATGAAGATGTAAGGGTGCCGTCCGATTGCTGGCGAATATCGCGACGGGCTCGCCCATAGCCCGGCCGAGGCGGTCCGTGACCCGTCGGACACAAGGCAGAGCATTAGGCTGTGCTCGATTCGCAAACGGAAATACACTCCGTTATAGCAGTAATCCGCCGAGGACTGAAGCATGTTTCCCCACACCCCAGGCCCGGGAGCCGTTTATGAGCTGTCGGGTGTCCGATGACGTGTCACTCAATAAAGCCGACATCCGACACCCCCAGCCAGCTGGCGGGGTTCAGTCACCTGACACCGACACGCCACACCCGAGCCCCGACACCCAACACGTCAGCTAACACCGGGGCCGAGTTCGCATGACGCTCATTGACGCACAAATACCGCGGTTAGCAAAGTGTAGCACATCGGTGTATTCCACAAGCCAACACGGAAGCGCCAACCAATGATATGACGATGACTGTCGGGCCGGCCGGGCGCGACCCTGGGCTGGGAGCGGTTCAAAGCCCGTCCCAGGCAGGGGCGGATCCAAGGGGGGGGGGGGTCACATGGGTCATGGCCCCCCCCTTGAGGCCCGGGGGCCCAAAGACCTGCCAGGGGCACCACCGGCCTATCAGGGGTATCACAGTCCTGACAGGGGCACCACAGGACCGCCAGGGGCACCACAGGCCTAGCAGGGACACCACGGGCCTGGTGCCCATGGGCCCTGACAGGACTGTAACGCCCCTGACAAGCCTGAAGTGTCCCCGGTAGGCACGTGGTGCCCCTGACAGGCCTGAGGCGCCCCTGCAAGGGCGGTGGTGCCCCTGGCAGGCCTGTGGTGTCCATGGCAGGCCTGTGGTGCCCTTGCTAGGCCTCTGGTGCCCATGACAGGCTTGTAATGCCCCTGGAAGGACTGTGGTGCCCCTGGGCCCTGACAAGCCTGAGGTGCCCCTGACAGGCCAGTGGTGCCCTTGCTAGGCCTGTGGTGCCCCTGGCAGGCCTCTGGTGCCCCTGGCAGGCTTGCGGTGCCCTTGGAAGGACTGTGGTGTCCCTGGGCCCTGACAAGCCTGAGGTGCCCCTGACAGGCCCGTGGTGCCCTTGTTAGGCCTGTGGTGCCCCTGGCAGGCCTCTGGTGCCCTTGCTAGGCCGCTGGTGCCCCTGGCAGGCCTCTGGTGCCCTTGCTAGGCCGCTGGTACCCTTGCGCCTGGAGAGGACTGGTGCCCCTGAAAAGTCTGAAGTGCCCCTCGGCAGGCCCGTGGTGCCCCTGACAGGCCCAAGGTGCCCCTGCGAGGCCGGTGGTGCCCCTGGCAGACCTCTGGTGCCCCTGGCAGGTCTGTGGTGCCCCTGGCAGGTCTGTGGCGCCCCTGGCAGACCTGTGTTGACTGGTGCCCCTGCTAGGTCGCTGGTGCCCCTCACAGACCTGTGGTGCCCCTGGGCCTTGACAAGCCTGAGATGCCTGGCTATGACAGGCTCGTGGTGCCCCTGATAGACCAGTGGTGCCCTTGCTAGGCCTGTAGTGCCCCTGGCAGGCCTCTGGTGCCCCTGCTACCCCTGCGCCCGGAGAGGACTATGGTGCCCCTGAAAAGCCTGAAGTGCCTCTCGACAGGCCCGTGGTGCCCCTGGCCCCTGACAGGCCCAAGTTACCCCTGCGGGGTCGGTGGTGCTCCTGGCAGACCTCTGGTGCCCCTTGCAGGTCTGTGGTGCCCCTGGCAGGCCTGTGTTGACTGGTGCCCCTGCTAGGCCGCTGGTGCCCCTCACAGGCCTGCGGTGCCCCTGGAAGGACTGTGGTGCCCCTGCCCCTAGGGGTGCTCATGGGCCCAACAGGTCCGTTGTGCCCCTGACAGGCCTGTCGTATATACTTGCTAGACCACTGGTGCCCCTACTTCCTGGCAGGCCTGTGGTACCCCTGGCGGGCCTGTGGCGCCCCTACAAGGCCGTAGGTGCCCCTGAAAGGTTTGTGGTGTCCCTGGAAGGACTTTGGTGCCCCTGACAAGCCTGAAGTGTCAAGGACAGACCCTTTAGACGCCAGGGTCAAGTTCGTCGGACTGACAACGATTTGCTTACCTGATAACGTTCCTGGTAAGTACTCACTACTCAGCGTCCACAACATATATACACATAGCATCTATGCACATAGCACATTCATATATACTTGCTTACAATTGGTAAATGTGGTTGTGGCTAAGAGTTAAGATGCTGACTAAAAATAAAAAATAAAAAGAAAAAAAACTGAAAATGGGGGCACCACCAAAATGAAGTGGACGAAATCCGTTGAGTTTTTAATTTTGGGTATAGGTAGGGGCACCACTTCGATTCATGACCCTCCCCTTGGAGTTTTCCTGGATCCGCCCCTGGTCCCAGGGAGGGTGCACGCCCTCGGCGAGCGGGGTCGCCGCTTCGCCCGGCGAGGGGAGGGAGCGAGGGGTTAGTGGCTGCAATACACTGAGACATTACTCGCCACCGACGCCCGCAGAGAAAGGCTGAACAGTCAACAAACAAGGGACAAAGCCACCCGTCCGACCTTGGGCGGGCTAATGAAGCAGCTTCCGGGGACAGAGCCGGGGTCACAACAGCACATCACAAGGTAATGCGAGTAGACATATGATCAACAACAGCAGACATTGCAGAAAACCACCGGAAAACATGATCTTATACAAAATATAGGAGCGAGAAGTCATTTTGATCGATGTATGTACAGTTGTACGATCATGGGAGGCACTCGAGTAAAAGGTATGATGTGACCGTCAATTCGATACGTATAACGGGCGATCATCGCCTCAACGCAAACAACATGACATAAGTCTTCAAATCTGACAAAGAACACCGGCACAGCTGGGCCGCTAAGCAGGTCCCGCACAACAGGACGGACTCGTTAACTTCCGGTACATACATGGAAGTATGACTGGACGGACTTATCGATCACCTTACAATCTTGCCACTCACACAAGACACATCAACCAGCGCGACCTAAAACGAGCCTCTTATCCGTCATGCCCACATCAGCTGGCCAGTACACAGGCCAAGTGCCCAGTAGAAGCACAACGACCGCCCACCGGCAGCAGCAGCAGACACGGGCGGCTCCGGCCCATCTCCCGCCGGCCGGCCGTAAAAAGGCCACGCCGCGCGCGGCCCGTCCGGAACGCACTCAGCGACGGCGGCAAAAACGGCGCAGCGCCGCGCCGATCGCGGCCGATGCACTGCAATGACTCGCCGCCGCCGGCCAGCTCCCCAGAGGCGCGGCCAGCGGCGCAAAAACGGCGGCCGGCGCCGGGCGGGGCGGGGCGGAGAGCGCCGGCGGCCGACCGGGCCGGCCCCGACCCGCCGACTGACTGACGAGGCGGCAGGTCACCAGGGACGGGCCAACACAGCCGCGACCATAGGGCCCAGCCCCACACCGCCGCGGCTCCGAAACGCTCACAACACAGTCCAGCGCATCTCTGGAGGTCCATCCAATACACAGCCGCGGCCCGGAGCTCGTACCGCACTGTCCAGCGTACCCCTCGAGGCCGTCCTCTCAGTTCGGACGGCCGGCACCGGCCACTCCGCGGTCAGCTCAGATAAAGAACTCGCGCATTTTCTGCACCTGGGCGCCCGTCTCGCCCTGCGTGACGGCCTCGTCCGCGTCCTCTGCGTCGCTGGCGCCGGCGTCCTCGCGGGTCATGTAGTCGCCCTTGCGCCGGGAGAGTCGTCGCACCACCATGATGGTGATGAGGAGCGCCAGCAGCAGCAGTGCCGCCAGAATACCTGCGGGGAACAGAGCGTGAGCACCAGTCAGCGCCGCCAGAATCCCTGTGGGGGCAGGTGATCGTATGTCAGCGCAGTTCTGTTAGCCGCAGGACGTCTACAGGACGTTAGGACGGCTATGTGAAATTAGCGACCTGCTGATCTCAGCTGAGGCTAATCAAGGTAAGACAAAGCAAAGACCTCTGTGCACCGGTGAATACAAGTTCTTTCTTCGATATGAAGAAGTCTGTCGACCTGAAGCGACCACATCCAGCGTCGCTGAACATCGGGCACGACCTAGAGCAAAACACATCCGCACGTCTAGCTGATTCACCAAGTGTAGCTAAAAAGGCGACCAACAAACTCGCCCGGTCCCAACCGACCGGAACGAGGCCGACTGATGGAGAACAGAGGTCACCATAGACGCTTACGGTATGCGGTGGAGCGGAATTCGCCACACCGCTGAAAGATCACTCGGCGACTCATCCACGCTCAACGCACCAGACACCTTGCAAGAAGTAAGCCCGTAGCGCACTATACCAAGTACCAAGTAAGTACCAAGTACCAAGTACCCCGGCCCGACGGAGGACGAACACACACAGAGCTATCGCGGTGGGGAAGTGATGATCTCACACCAGAGGGGACTGAGCGGGCTGGCTATGTACAATGTGCGACAAGCCATACACAGCTGACATGTCGGTACCTCTTCGCTCTTCCCCACCACACATATCCCAACCACAATGAGGAGAGACAACTCGGTACGAGAGATCGAAACTGCGGCCCGCACAGCGCCATCTACAGCGTGCTACAGCGGCGACGAACAGCCGGGAGAAAATCACACAGCACACCCTCGAAGACTCGATTGCTCCCATCACATGCTGCTTCAAAACATATTAGGACAGTTAGACTCAGATTGAAACTTTCGTTTTCACCCTACAGCGCCGCACACTGTCGACCAGTCGTCCTCCCGCGTCGCTGCTCACCTCCGAGCACGGCGAAGTTGATGTCGTTGTAGAGCGAGCTGACGATGTCCTCGTCGACCTCGGGCGGCGGCCGCTGCTCCTGCTCCTCCTCTGGGTGACGCACCGGCTCGATACCGCAGTAGTCCTCGTGGATCTTGGCTGTGGACGTCACACACTGGTCAGGCAAGGTACAGAGAGACGCTTCATCAATGAATGGATCGATGAAGGAAAGGGTGATGGTGGCACAGCAGCATCCACGAAAGAAAAACATTAATACACAACAGGTCCTTTTGAGGGGCCCCACATAGCTCCTTCCTCTGGAGGCTGACAGAGGCGGCTACTGACCGCAGGAACCGCCATCCGTGACCAGGATACCCTTCTAGCCCAGACCGGTGGCCGGTTCTCCAACGGACACCACTCACGCGAGCTGCCGTTGATGTTGGAAGGCCGGTTCTCCTGGAACATGAGCTTCAGCGGGTATATGTCGTCAAACTCGACGCGACTGATGCAGCCGACGAAGCCCTCCTGCATCGACTCGTTTTTGCCGATGTACAGGTACTGGATGTTGTTGAACTGGACGTCGGCAGATGGGTTGACGTTGAACGTCTCCTGGTAGGCTGGGTAGTCGTCCACCTGGCGACAGGTCAGGTCAGGTCACGCATGTCCTCTGTGCATCTCGAACCACATGGTTTTAATTCTAGTACCAGAGTAGTAACAATTAAATAGGTTAAGTAACATCATCGACCGCTTTTCTCTCAAGATGCAATCAAAACAAGATCGTTAGCGCTTTTCAGTCGGAACCTTTCATACAAGCGTAAATGTATAGCAAACCCGCTACATATGGCTCTCCCATCATCAGCAAAACACCACGACCACCTCAAACTCCAGCCGTCCGTCCCGAACACACAGAGCCACTCAGCAGCTGTGCTGAGACATTCCACGCCCACCCCCGGAGTCCTCACCTGTATCTCGAGCGTGGAGCCGCCGTTCAGTCGGCGCACGCGCACGTCGTGGAACTGGCCCTCGTTGAAGATGCGCTCTGGGTACACCACGTCGCGCCGCTCGAAGCCAAAGTCGAACACCACGCGGAGGCTTCCTGCCGGCCACAGTGACGGGGGTAGTGATTGATAATTATGGTGAACATGGCGGCTCTAGTGAAAATCACGGCGGCGGAATTAAACGAAAAGTGATTGATTGGATCCAAGGTGTCTGTGAACACAAAATGAAATGCATTTTTCGATATATTTGGTGGTCGAATTTATTACAGCACGTTACTTTACAAACAAACACTTATCCCGAGTATTCAATCGCCCATAATAACTTGAACAATGAACGAGTTTCACACAGGGCTTCTAGGTCACTTACCGATCTGAAAATTCATGCGCGACACATAAAAAAGAACACCCTGTGCCACCTCGTCGACCCCCTCCCCAGCCCATCCTGCTGTGCCACTCACCACTGTTGGAAATCATGATGGTCATGAACTCCTGTGTGACGCTGGAGATGAGGCCCATCAGGAAGCCCGACGGACTGGTGGTGGTGAAGCCGACCCGGATGTTCTCGGCGATGGTGGACTTGTAGCTGCCCTCCAGCTCGTACTTGATCATGTAGCTGCGCGTCATGCTCACGCCGATCTCTGGAAACGGCGATGGACGGGTGGTGTGAAAAAAGTACAGGTTGTTTGCGTGTGAGATGCGCATTCGAGTTTTATAGGTTCACGTGGATGTTCAGAGGAATAAACGGCGGCATAGGCGCTTAGTACCGGCGTTAATGATTTAGGAATTGAAAGAAACATCAGAAACGGCACTCGTCCAATGCAGCTCACCGATACAGTCCTAGACGCAACACACCACAGTTGTCACTTGTCAGTGAAGTCATAAACAGCAAATACCATGAATTATACCATTTATACTGTTACGCGCCGTCGATCTGTCCTCTCATTCCCACCTTCCCTCCCCACCCCACCGCGTCCCACCTCTCAGTCACGTACCGTCTGCGCAGATGGGTCCCTTGAACGCCGTCCAGCGGCAGTTGCACTCGTAGTCCGAGTAGCCCTCGATACAGGTGCCGTTGTTGAGGCACGGGGAGCTGGCGCACTTGCCCTGACAGCCGACCGAGACGCCGTACAGCGGGCCGCGGTACACGCTGCCGTGGCGCGCGCTCGACCACACACCGCGCTCTGCCAGGTACTTCAGGTTCTGCAGCCGGCCGTTCACCATCAGGGCGCGCATGCAGCCCACGAAGCCGTTCGAGTACTTGGTGTTGGCGCCTGCCGAGCGACGGGGAAGTGTGGGGGGGAGGGGGGGGGGGGGGTGTCAGCTGGTGAGCAGAGCATGTTACCGGAGTTGATCTGGCCAAACTGAGAAGGCACACATTCCGGAGAAAGCCAAAAAGGAGATACTAGAACAGATTCGTTCTTCGATAAAACATGACGTGGCCCATGAGTGAAAGCCACATGCAAGAGTGAATCACACAGTTGACTACGTTATGGCCTTTTTAAATCACAAATAAAAAATCACCCTACTGACAGCTGCTCGTATCAGGTCACCTCTTTTCACTCCACAGACCCACTCGACCAAAAGATTCATCACCTACCGACGATCAGTTTGGAGGTGAGTTTGATCGGCCGCACGGGTCCCTCAGGCTCGTCGGTGTGCTTGTGCAGCGAGTTGTCGAGCAGCACGCGCGCCTGCTTGCGGTTCCGCTCGACAAACACAGAGTGCCAGCGGTCGTCGTTGAGCCGGCTGCTGACCTCGACCGTGACGCTGAGTGGGATCGAGCCCACCCGGTACTCCAGCTGGATCGAGTTACCGCCTGAGAGGCAGATACGGGGTCAACAGGGGTAAAAAGGGGTCAACAGAGGGCACCCGGTACTCCCCCTGGATCGAATTACCGCCCGAGGAGGACAGAAGGGTCAACAGGGGTTAAAAGGGGTCAACAGAGGGCACTCAGGGTCATAGCAGCAAAGACACAATTTCGATCGAAATCGATTACCCAATAACATATTCTGGTGAAAAGTCATCCACCACTTGAATTCAAATGGAACATGGGATGCAAATATCAACGCATTGGTAATGCATTCACACCTCGACCTGAAATGCACCATAACGATACGACGGGAGCTGAGATAAGAAAGCATCTCAATTCAATTCCTTCATTCTACGCTGTAGACCCGAAGACCCGAACGCCGACACGCCGGCAGGAATTCTCACCGACGATGGAGACCTTGAGGAAGTCCTCGGGTCCCTCGACGTGCAGGAAGGTGCCCGACTCCTTGGTGGTGCGGAACTCGAAGAAGATGTCGCCGCTGTAGCCCATCTCGATGGGCGGCAGGTCGATGGTGGCGTCGGAGAGCCGGAACGTGACTGTGTTGTCAAACACAGCTGTGGACGGCAGGGTACGGGGCGGTCAGACAATTACCCGTCACAGTACATGGCAGTCAGACAATTACCTGTCACAGACACATAGCTCGTCCACACACGACCAGCGTAGAATACAAAACGGATTTAATACACACGGTACTCATACCCAGCTGCTGTAGACTCCGCTAGAGGCTAAACACGCGAGCTGAAAATCACCCCGCCGCGCCCGGTCACGTACCATCTCCCTCGCAGACCAGCGAGCCGACCCGGTAGGTGCCTCTGCGCGAGTCGCCGGGCGCGCCCGTGTCGCCAAAGTGCACCCGTCTGACGGGCAGGTCCTCCTTGAACATCAGGTCGCCGCCGTCGGCCGTCTCCGCCACACCTATAGAGCGAGAGAGGGGTCACTGTTAGAGAGGCCGGCCGCGGTCCGGTCAACGGAGGTTCACAGCCTGAACAGCGAACAGCCAGATATACAAACACTACGCTTGTCTCACTACAAATCTTGTAAACCGATAAAAAACATCACAACGGTCATACTTAAGCTCATGCTCATCATCCATTTCCGAACTCTGTTATCCCACCACTGACCGGCATCGCAGTTGCAGTCCTTGGCGCGGTCGATGCAGGTGCCCTGTATGCCGCAGGCGCACTTTCTGCTGCCGGGCTGAGAGCCGCCCCAGTAGTCCATCATCTCATTGTTGCGCGACACCCACCACGAGTACGGCTCGAACGGCTCGTCTAGTCGCACGGGCGAGTTAAACAGGCGCGCGTTGTAGCACGCGTAAAACAGCTGCTGACGACAGCTCAGCGAGCCGTTGATCAGACGGTCAATCTGCCGGAAAGCGGAGATAGGATGTCAGGGGAGGATGCGACCGCAAATGCTATCGGCACTCGCATCCTAGTGGACAGCTGCTGCTAAAAGCAGGACAACTGCAGGACGCCCATGGAGGCCAGCACCGCTCACTCTGATAGCCATCACAGGCGCACAATTTCCCTGCCCACCCTATCCTCAAGCATACCGTCCTCCAGCCCGACATCAGCCCACCACCACCATCAGCCCACCACTCAAGCATACCGTCCTGCAGCCCGACATCAGCCCACCACCACCATCAGCCCACCACTCAAGCATACCGTCCTCCATCCAGCCCAACATCAGCCCACCACCGACCTGGCGCATGTCGGCGTCGTAGTCGATGTTTCGCACGTAGCTGCCGCGCCGGTCGAAGCCGTCCACGATCTGGTCGCCGAGCGCGTCGTGGTCGAGGTGGGTCTCCACCTGGCCCTCGGGCGTCAGCACACAGCTGACCGGGAAGGCGGCCAGCGGACCCGAGCCGTCCACGTCAATGGCCACCCGCGCGCGCCGCGAGCCCCGGTTGTGCATAAAGTACTGGGCGCACGACAGCGGGTTGGTCGCTGCCGGAGGAATAGTGGGTTAGTGGGGCACCGAGAGCGACGCTCAGGTCAAAGTCAAATAAAAGGGCGACACGACAAACGCAGCGGCCTGTTTGCTGTTTATAGTTAACCATCACTTGCGTAATCTTCAACGGTTAGCCCAACCGAGCTTGGCGTAGCTTCTGCTTGAAATATCTCAGGTCATCGTCAGTACTTTTCCCAGCACTAACTAATTCATGCATGAAATCGGCCTTACCTCTTGTTCATGATCACTAATCATATACGACAGTCATCACAATGACGAACTTTTCACCTCTACCCGCAAGTTTCTCTCCCTCTCCCTCCGAGCCCCTGACCCACCGGCATGGCAGACGGCGCCCGTGTAGCCCGTGCCGCTGCAGTCACACACAAACTCCTGAGAGGTTTGGGTGCACAGGCCGCCGTGCTCGCACGGGTTCGGGTTACACCGGTCCTCCATGTCGCAGGCGTCGATCAGAATGAACTCCGACTTCATCATGTTCTGGGCCGTGGGGGAGGGAGAACGGGGCGTCAGCGGGCGGCTAGAGAGTACAGCACCGAGCACGGGTTAGGACACGAGGTTTGGCGCGATTTATGAGCGGCCTTAAAATAAGAACGCAATACACGCATTACTGCGAATTTCGGAAGACCGTTTTGATTGTGAGGACAGAATAAGACTAACGAAAACCATTCAGTTACGTCACATTATTCGAAAAGACTAGCCTCGCCCTATTCTGTAAGGTGCAACAGGACGCATCGCCCACACAGGCTGCGCAGGAGCTTTAGGGGCTGTCCTGGTAAGGTGTGGCCCCAGCTTTGGGGGCTGCACTGGTTACCTGTAGTCCCAGCTGTAGTGGACTGCGCTGATTACCTGTGGTCCCAGCTGTAGTGGACTGTGCTGGTTACCTGTGGTCCCAGCTGTAGTGGACTGCGCTGATTACCTGTGGTCCCAGCTGTAGTGGACTGTGCTGGTTACCTGTGGTCCCAGCTGTAGTGGACTGCGCTGGTTACCTGTGGTCCCAGCTGTAGTGGACTGTGCTGGTTACCTGTGGTCCCAGCTGTAGTGGACTGCGCTGATTACCTGTGGTCCCAGCTGTAGTGGACTGCGCTGATTACCTGTGGTCCCAGCTGTAGTGGACTGCGCTGGTTACCTGTGGTCCCAGCTGTAGTGGACTGTGCTGGTTACCTGTGGTCCCAGCTGTAGTGGACTGCGCTGATTACCTGTGGTCCCAGCTGTAGTGGACTGCGCTGGTTACCTGTGGTCCCAGCTGTAGTGGACTGCGCTGGTTACCTGTGGTCCCAGCTGTAGTGGACTGTGCTGGTTACCTGTGGTCCCAGCTGTAGTGGACTGCGCTGGTTACCTGTGGTCCCAGCTGTAGTGGACTGCGCTGGTTACCTGTGGTCCCAGCTGTAGTGGACTGCGCTGATTACCTGTGGTCCCAGCTGTAGTGGACTGCGCTGGTTACCTGTGGTCCCAGCTGTAGTGGACTGCGCTGATTACCTGTGGTCCCAGCTGTAGTGGACTGCGCTGATTACCTGTGGTCCCAGCTGTAGTGGACTGTGCTGGTTACCTGTGGTCCCAGCTGTAGTGGACTGCGCTGGTTACCTGTGGTCCCAGCTGTAGTGGACTGTGCTGGTTACCTGTGGTCCCAGCTGTAGTGGACTGCGCTGGTTACCTGTGGTCCCAGCTGTAGTGGACTGCGCTGGTTACCTGTGGTCCCAGCTGTAGTGGACTGCGCTGGTTACCTGTGGTCCCAGCTGTAGTGGACTGCGCTGGTTACCTGTGGTCCCAGCTGTAGTGGACTGCGCTGGTTACCTGTGGTCCCAGCTGTAGTGGACTGTGCTGGTTACCTGTGGTCCCAGCTGTAGTGGACTGTGCTCGTTACCGCCGGCAGATATACTCCTGATGCAGCCCAGGAAGCCGGGGTTCTCCGAACCGGGCAGACCGCCTGTACAACACACATACAAATGCATATTAAATAAGCACGCATATCCCAATTGAATACGTTAGATACACAGAACAAAATCGAGTAAACGACCGAGGAGATAAGAGAAATCGAATTATGGATATATGTACGACACAAAAAGCTACCACACTTCACACCTCTCATCCAATATGGCGATATTATCCACACCACTCAGCACCAACAGTGTACTGAGTGGTGGTTAATACTCGCACCACGTCTCCCGGGCATCCACTGACCCCCGAACAGGTACTCGAAGCCGGTGGTGAACTTCATGAGTCGTCGCGTCTCGGTCGGGTAGCCGTCCAGGATGGTGGTGGCTCGGTTGGTGGCCAGCGCCACGATGGCCGCGTGCCAGCTGCCGTCGTTGTAGCGCTGCTCGAACGCGTCCAGCACCACCGGCTGCTTCATGCCCGTGGTCATGATGGCCACCTTGAACCGGCCCGCCTGCAGGTACACCTGCACGGCGGCGACGGGCAGGGGTGTTATAGCTGGATATGGTGGCATTAGAGAGAGTGGGAGCGGTGAACACAGACGATCAAAGGGCCACTTAGTGAATCTGTCTGGAGAGACGTTTCAAACACAAATAAAAACGAAGGCAGGTTCTGTTCTGTTACTTTGGTGCTGTGGGCTTCTGTCATGAATATTAAACAACACAAACAATGAGCTGAGCTGTTGATAAAATGTTATCCTTCGATAATTCGAAGAAAATAACGTCAACTTCGAGACATTTGTGAGCAGACATCTAGCTAAATACTCGCAAAAGATATGGAATGTACCAAAGCCATGCCTTTGACCCTGAATGGCGGTAGTGCCGCAGCTTACCTTGACGTATCCGTCGCTGAGGAAGTTGTGGAAGGCCAGCATGCCATCCCTCTCGTAGGTGCGGAACGAGAAGGAGATGTTGAGAGTCGTCTGCCCCTCGTTGCCGACCACCTTGATGTGCGCGCCGCGGTCCTGGAAGGTGAGCGGCACCACGTGCACCGCCTGCCGGCCGGAGCAGAGGCCAGAGGGCACCGTCAGTCGGGGTCACAGAAACACGTCAGATACTACAAACGGCAGGAGTCAGCCGACGAAAAACTTGGTCAGCCACAGAGCCAGGAGTGTAGGCTATGACCATAACAAATCGGAATGTAGGTTATGACAATAACAAATCAAGGGTTATTTTACGGCGGTAGGACTGCATAAATTATCGGCACTCGGGAGTGTGTACGAGGGCAGAGCTGAGTAGGAAACAAAGCCAAGGGGATATGATGCACGGGCAGTGACGCAGGGGGAGTTGAGGGTTGCACAGCTGGTCTCCTCACCGGGCAGTTGGCCAGCGCTCCATAGCTGCTGAAGTCGTCCCGGTTACCCTGGCGCAGCTCGGCGATGAAGTTGGAGCTGTTGAGGTAGAAGTTCTCGATGCAGCCGGTGAAGTTGCTGAACACTTGGACACCGTCCTTGATGTATGGAACGCCGCCCAGGTAAAACTGAAACCGGCACCGTCCCAGTCAGTTCAGTTCACTTCATTTTCATTGAATAATATAAAAAACTTACAAGTTGTGGTGGATCGGCGCAAAAGATAACCATAAATAAAAGCGCCTCTCTGAGATGAAGACAAAACTGACAGTAATCAGTAATCACGCAACTGGAGTCAGTCAGTACCGACCCCACCAGTAGCCCATCGAGCACCCTGGACCGGTATAGGCTTCTGGACGCAGTCAGCACGTCGGGGACATACACTAGGAACATACACATGTATCATGCACTAGGTTCAACGGCACTGTTCTCCCCTAATTCTCTAATATACAGCACCATCCAACCACAGCGCTCCTCCCGCTCACCCGTCCCCCTCGCCCGTCCTTGCTTGCTCGTCCCGTTCGCCTACCCCGCTCAGCCGCCCTTCCCGTCCATCTACCCACCTTGCTGTTGAGGTCCAGTCGGCGGAACTCGCCGCTGATCTCCGTGGTCACTCGAACTCGGTCCACGGTGAGACTGACGTCCCGCTCGTGGCGCTCGATGGACACGTCGTGCCATAGGTGGTCATCCAGCAGCGAGCCCACCGACAGCGACGTCGGACGGCCAGAGCCTGCGGGGGTCACCGGGTCAGAGGTCAGCGCTGGACGCGGGCAGAGGTCAGTGATGGGACACCAGGGTTGGCAGGGGGTGGCAAAAACTGGTTTTTGCCAGTGGTTTTAACCGGTTTAAACCGGCTGGCAGAAACCCTGGTGGCAAGAACTGGCAAAAACTGGCTAAAACTCAGATGGCCAAACCTACAACTTGTCTAGTTAGGAATGGATTTGAAATGTACAAATGCATTTCTGGTAGTTATATAGATGCACTAAACATTCTGAAGTTGCCTCATTACTTAATTCCCTGCTTAAAATGTCTATGCATGTCGGTAGACATCCACAACGGAATGTATTTCCATGTAAGGGGAGAGTGGGACAAGGCGGCCACGGTAAGTAGGGTGTCATGCGGTGCCGTGCGCATATCAGTGGCAGATACCTCTTCGCACTTCTGATTGTGCAGGACTCACCCAGTCACCCTTGCACTGGCTCATTTGTCACCCCCAAAAGGCATCTTACTAGCTCCTTAGGGATAGCCCATGAAAATGTTTCTGAGTTAGGTATGAAACATTTCAATGGTCAATGTCACTTCTGTTTGAAAGCATAAAGCTTTCACCGAATTCTCCTTAAAATATGTCCTGTTCAAAATCATGTCTAGGCATAGTATTGTTATATTTCTGAGTTTTTGCCAGTTTTTGCCACTTTTTGCCGGTTAAAACCGGTTTAAACCGGCAAATGGCATAAACTAGTTTTTGCCGGCAAAAATGCCAACCCTGTGGGACACAATCATCGTCATGGGCAGTGCCAACTGCCAAGTGGGCCTTAAAATCGACAACGACCGAACGGCAGGGTCACTACTTGAAATACCTGCGACAGGCTAAAATGCAATTCAATCCAACCTCAGTTTCGACCACATATCAACACTGCTATCTGTAAGCACTAATTAGCTTATAAGCCGTCAGTCACTAAAGCCAGGTCAGTACACTAACACTCCACTGTCCACTGTCCACACCCCATCTAAAAGTTCCCACATGCCCCTCTTAACATCATCACCCATCACCCAGGCCGAGGTTCGGGTCCGTACCGAGGTCGATGAGCAGCAGCAGCTTGTCGCGCACCAGCTGCACCGCGAACAGGTCCCCCTGCGCGCCGCGGCTGTACATGAGCACGCCGTTGGCGCGGTCGGTGCGGAACCGAAACTGGATCGAGTCCCGGTACGAGTGCACCTGGTGACGCGACAGGTCCTTCTCTACGAACGCCTCACCGGTGAAGTACATGGTGGTGGCCGCTGCGGCAGGAGTGGGGTCAATGACGTCAGTCGAGAAGATAACTGACTGCATTGGCGCAGAAATAGGGCAGTTTTTTTTAAACTACTCAATAAGGAAACAAAAATAAATTAAAGAACAAGTTTCATCATGAATCCTTGACACAAAAGTTGATAATCACTCGCGTATTATGACTCTATATTATGACTCGTCCCATCTCTTGCAATCACTCACTGAACGTGCACCCGTAGAGCTCCATTCGCAGCGACATGCGCTCGTTCCAGCGCGTGGGCCGTATTCGGATATACTGGGCCACCACGGGCACCTCGAGTCGGTTCGAGACCACTGAGTTGTCGTTCGTGTTGGCTTGGAACCCCTGCGGCGGCGTCACGGGGCGGATACAGCGGTCAGTGAGCGGCGGGAGCATGGACCAGTCAGCCGCCAGTGGCCGAAGGGGGCAAAACACATAATGAGCAGGGAGTATCAATCAATTAGCACAAATGAAGGGGGCAACACAAAGCATTAAAAAAAAAACATCACGTATGACTAATATCAAAAGCTAGGTTCCAAGAAGTGTCACTTTAATGACAAAAAGCGCAAACCATCGCTGGGATACATACTGACGAAGATCACACGGTCACACGTCTGTGGGACGGACAGGGCTAGCGATAAAGCATGCACGGCGTGCATATACGACACCAACAACGCTGGCTCGAACCAAAGGCACATACACATAACGACAGTCCCACGAGCCTCACAAGCACGTGCTGAGCTCGAGCTCACTCAGCAGCGAACCAAACAATCCTAGGTAAACCACAAAAAAGAAACGATGAGAAGTCGCAGCAATAACAAAAACGCGAAATTCATCCTACTACAGACGAGGCAGACGTGACCGGGGCCGGACCAGCCTGCTGTGCGGACGGAAAAAATGCTGACTGGATCGGTAGAATAACGTTAGCAAAGCGTTTCACAGGGTGAGCCTATGTAAGCAAACACACTCAGCTTGGATGAGAACAAGGGATGTGGCACAGTCATTCGGCTTCATCTACTTGCTCTAGCTGAATAAGTTTGGCATGAAACTGAAGAGCTGCGGGCAAACCACATTAGCTCCATCAGACAGTCTAGCTGTTTCCGGGCGTCTACCGATCTGAGCGAAAAAAAAGCTGGAAAATAAACAGAATTGCGCCAAACAGCCAGAACTGGACAACACCGAACCAACGGACAGTAGCATGCCGTGGGAGACCAACTGAACGCACCGATCATACGGCAGGCGGCTCCGTCCTGGACCCGCCGCAGTCTACCGCCGCTGAGAAGGGAGCCTGGTCAATGGTGCAGACTGGGCCAGTGTCGTCAGCAGCTCTGCACAGTCCATCACCGGTGCAGTGACTCGGTACCGCCGCTGTACCGGTACAGCGGTACGACACAGCACGGTACACACTGTCAGTCGGGGTAGATCGGTTCGGAAATATACTTCTCTGTAACGGATATGACTGGGCACTGCCGCAGACACTACCTACGATACATGCTGAGTTGCCAGAGATCTGGGACGTTCCGTCTCCAGCTGGTCAGCACTTCAGTACCCGGCACGTGAACAACTAAATCAACAAACCTGACACTCTGTACTCCTGACATCCATTTCTTAACTCCCCTATAACAAACGACCCCCGTCCTCTCACCCAGGCGCCGCCGTGCGGGCCGCGGTAGTCCATGAAGTCCCGGCCGTTGAAGCCGTACTGGAGGCTGTACTGGCGCACGAACTCGCGCGAGTGCCGGCGCCCCTGCGTGGCCACTCGCGTGATCCGGTACACCTCCCCCAGGTCGACCGTGATGCTCTGGCCGACATTGGAGAAACGCGCCGTCCATGCGCTGTCGCCTGGTGGGAGACATGGCCGGGGCGGGGGTCAGTTCGAGTCTCCTTGGAGGGGGGGGGGGGCTCTGCCGGGGGAGATACGGCCGGGGGCGGAAGGTCATTTCCGGTCTCCTTGGGGGGGGGGGGACACGGCGGACAGTTAGTTCGAGTTTCCTTGGGGGAGACATGACCGGGAGTGGAGGGTCAGTACGGGCCAGCACTTGAGACTGGTCAAGAAAGACACGAACGATGGTTACATAAGACAAACATTACAGCTCACCCGACAGGCATGTTAACATGAAATGCATGGCATTCGTCAATCGTCTAGAGATTAACATACATGGGCTGCTAGTTGGAAAGGTAGAATCGAATGCCAAACCCGGCAATAAAAGGCCTCATGGAGCAATCTTGAGAAGAGGCACAGTACTACCGTGAGTTAACCCTCGCCCGCACATGGGGGGGGGGGGGGGTTGTCACCCCACCCCCCACGTAGTCTTTCTGCTCTGCACTCAACATTTTTAAAGCTAGGAGGCTGATTTTTCGTATACCTGCTCCTCTATCCTTTCTTGATGTCCACTGTAAATTTCAAGTTTCTGTGGTTTTTGGTTTCAGAGATATGACCTTGTTTTTCAGGTCATGTCATGACCCAAATGGCCAATTCTCAACATCTTGCGTTTGCCATGGGCCTTGTGAGCTTTTGACATCTTGATTTCGGCCTTTTTTTGCCAGTCTTACCTCCCACCTATCATGGAACATGTTGTTCGACGATGTACAGATGTCAAGGTCAAGTTCAAGGTCAACCTAGGTCATCTAAGATAATTGCGTTTTGGGCAAGCGGAATTTACTTTTTGTGAAGTTTTTTGACTGCATTTTTGATAAAAGCTTCTCAGATCATGATTTCATGTAATATGAACACATAAACAATCGGTGCACACATCAGTATACCTACACACAGACACACACAGACATACAAACACATATAATTGACCTTGACCTAACTTGACCTGAAATGACCTCAGCAGCAAAAACCCGGTCGGGTAGTGTGACAAAGAGGTTCTAGCTGGCTTGGCACCAGAAAACGGCATCGTCTTCGGTATATGATAAGCAGCGCACTTGATATCCAACGGTGACCCAAAACAGCAACATTTTTTAGTTTGACCTGACCTGGAAGGTTAATGACTGACCTGAGAAGGTAAAACTGGGTATCATTGGATTCGTCCCTTCCCAAAGAATCTTTTTGGTCTTTACCGCTAAGCTCTATCTCCAACAGGAACGAAATGGCGCGGGGGGGGGGGTGGCAACCCCCGCCCCATGTGCGTTCTAGGATGGGAAAATGGCATGTGCGGGCGAGGGTTAAGCGCGGTACACGGGGCCGGGAGCGGGCCGTTTGGAACCGACGGTGAACGGTCATGCCGCGTAGCCCTGCCGTGCCGCCCATACGGTAACACATACTGATCTGTTGCCGTTGTCGGTCACATCACGACCAACAACTCTGCTAGCGTGACAAACGGCGCAGTTCCAGCGGAGGCACAATATCCCCATATACCATGATCTCTTCATTCAGCATGGCATATCAAGGGTTCATCCGGCTTTGCCGGACGGCTGTGCTTCCGGCGCGTTCGGACAGCCCGTGCGGCACTGAACGGCGAGTCAATCCATCCAACGCTATGATACTATGATACGAGTCGTACAGTAGGTCTACAAAATAAGTCCTCTCCGTATGCGGGCAGGCGGCGCCCGAGTAGCGCTCAGGCGCTAACTGCCCACTGGTGACCTGCATACGACGGGGACTTATTTTGTAGGCCTACTGTACACTGTCAGCCAATCAGTCCCGTGGTAAGGTATAGCCGCAGTCGGTCAGCCAATTCGGCGGAAGGTCATGCTGGCAGTCAGTCAGTCAATTTCGCAGTGTATTATAGTGTCAGACAGTCTATAACCCCGCCACAGCCAGTCAATCAGTATACTGATTGACTGAGGCTATTACTGGTCGGGTAATAGCCTCTCTCAGCCCCTACCCTACCCCACGTAGTTCGTTCTCCCCTCTCTACCCTCCCGGCACAACAATCGAAGCACGCCCCTCCCGCGGTGCGTGTGGGGTGCGGGGCAATTTGTCGCCTCGCGTTTCCGGTCTACCGGAGCAGGGAGCCGGTTCGAGCCGGCGTTCGGACGCGAGCGACCTGGAGGCGAGGGCTGGTGTTCGCTGGACTGTGGGTGGTGTGACCTGGGGCCTGTGACAGTCAGGGGTCAGTGTGACTTGTGCAGGGCTAATCTACGTGATCTGTATCCAGATCGGGAGTGTCCTTCTACCGTTGATGACCCCCCACGATCCACCATGGTTCCATGAGATACAACACCTGGCACCCCTAAGGCCTCTCTCGTCCCCTGCCTTCCTTCGGGTCGGTTCAGTCACCAGACTGTGCTGTGGTCCACCTCATCCTCTCTAATCCACAGCCGTTTTGATCAGCCGCCTCCCCTCCCCACTGGCTGACCGCAGCGCCAGTCCGTTCGTCCGTGTCTCCTCGGTCCCACCGACAGACACCAACCGTGACCACGGCGCTGAGACGGTTCGGGCGAGGGCCTCACCGCGGCCAGACCGCGGCCGGTGGAAACATGCAACTGCGCAGGCTTCAGTGGACAGTCGTGGATCTGGCCACATGGTTGGCGTGCGATGCGAATGCTTATGTAATGACAAAATTCTTGCAATAGCAAAATACTGAGTGTACATTGGATCTCTACTGGAACTACTGGCTAGCAGTTCATGCTCATAATCTACGTAGTTTGTTTTTATACACCTCTGTAAATATCGCCTTCTGCCAATAACGGGACTCGAAAAAAAAATGAGAAGGTTCTATGAGTGGCAGTATCAATGCAAACTAACCGTAAGGCACAAAGTCCTGTCCAACATTATGCAGAGCCAACTCGAGCAGAATCTGTGTACCTGCGTAGGCCAATGTGCATTACATGGTTCGCTTGGGTCGGTCCTGCGCAGGGCCCTATGAGTCTCCCGCGGCGGCATGCGTCAGTGTTTGAATGACAGGTGAACTGCGCAACCATCACCGGCGTGGCGGCGCGCCGTATATGGTCAGTGCTGTGAGTCACCCGGCGGCCGGCAGAGTACCGCCGGGCGGCGGCGACGCCCCACCGCGCACCTCCGCCCGTCGGTTCCTGTCGAGACGGCGGCGGCGGCGGCGGCCGACCACGGGGACTGGCCTCCATCCTCACACGGCTGGCCGGCATACCTGTACATTTGACTTTCAGATTGCGAGCAGCTAGCGAACGCTCGCCGCATGTGTAGTCTGATTTCAAACAAAAACCGGTTCCTTCGCGAAGGCAGAGTACAATGGCGGTTGGGCTGTACGCTCCAGAAGGAAATTGTCCTCTGACGATACGATAGAAAGATTGATACCATTACTTACCTACATTACGCAATCAACAGTGAGGAAGATCGTCTGCGAGCACACCTGACAGGCTTGAGCAGCAGTTTCCTTTAAAAACACGATGGACATAGTCCAAATACGTCGCTTCTGATTTGAATGAATAATCGCATTACAACGAAGCGATCCAACAATTTTGGCTATACTATTTATTTTCAGATCGGAATACCCATGGGTACTCAATCATAGATACATCGCCTTCTATGATTCCTGCAGCGGTTTGGACATTAACACCAGGGTCAGTAACCTAAGTCCGGAAAAGAGCTTACCGACTAGAAGTGAACCAAACCACAAAAGACCATTGGCCTAACGTTACATAACAATAAAGTAAACTGAGTCATCCTCGATACATCTGCTGAGTAGCATGCCAACCGCACACAATCGTGCCCCGGCGGATTCACTTTGCCCCCAGGCCTGATCATCGACACACCACAAACACACTGCCCACGGGGCAGTCGCCCTACTGCCCAGGATGCGGGCTCCACGCAGAGGAGGACAGCCGTCAGTGCAGCGTCTGTGTGGAGTAAGCTTCGAGTCGCAGTGGACGAATTATCCACCAAGGTCTGAGGTTCATGTCCTCACTGAACACCCTGTTACTGTGTCCTGTCACATGGTTTGAGCACCTTTCTGTGATTGTTCCAAAAACCCATAGCATATCAAAACCCCCTAGACATTGAGTTTAAGTGTCCCTGCGAGAGACTATCTGTTTTCTAAGCCATTGCCTTTCCAGTATCCTATCGGCGGGCGGTCCGTCAGAGTCCGTCGTCCCTCTCCTCCGCGGCCAAGTAGCGCTCCCAGTCGGCCGGGTCCTCGGGGCTGAGGTACCCGACACCCTCCAGCAGCTGGTCGGCTGTCAGCAGCTCGAAGGAGGGCGGCGGCCCGGCGGCCGACCCCGCCGCCCGCACAGCCACCGCCACCACGTGCTCGGCGTCCAGGCGACTCTCCTCGAACCGGTAGCGCGTCTCCAGCGCGCCGTCCACGTGCAGAACGGTGCCGGTCACCGCGCCGGCGGCCGGCAGCTCGGCCGGCCGGCACGTGAAGCTGACACGCTGCAGACTGAACCCGATGCCGACACCCTCGGCCTTGACGAAGCTCTCTTTGAGCGCCCAGCAGCGGTGGAAGCGCGCCAGCTGCTGCCGCTCCGTGCCCGGGCCGCAAATAAACGCCCACTCGGCCGGCGTGAACTGGCGCCGCATCGTGGCGAAGAACTGGGCGGGCGGCGGCGCGCCGGGCCGACGCACCGCGCGCGCCACATCGCAGCCGAGCGCCGCGTCCGCGCCGGCGGCCGGCTCGGCGGCCAGTACCGTGAACCGGCCCTGGTGGGAGACGTTAAACACGAGGCCACCGCCGTCTCCGCCGCCGGCCGCCGCCAGAAACGGCTTCCCCTTGTCGGTGCGCTGCAGCCGTAGCTGGCTCCACGGCAGCCCGGTATGGCGGCTCAGCAGCCGACGCAGCATCAGCCGACCGGCCAGCGAGGCGCGCGCGTCGCCGCGGAAGTGGAAGCGCCCGATGCGCTCCCTCTCCTCCGGTTGGACAGCGCGCATGGCGGCTGACCACTCGGCGCGGCCCGGTGCCCACGCGGCCACGTTGAACGCCCAGCGCACAGTGCCCATACCGCCGTCCGACCGTCCGACCGTCCGTCCGTCCGTCCGTCCACCCGTCCGTCTGTCGTCCGCTCCTCAGAGCGTTGTCACGTGCACCGACCAAATGCAGTCAACGTCGGCCGGCCGGGAGCGCGCCCTCTGAAACGAAGAGGCACGCGTCCCAGCCAGCGCCACCACAGAAGCCAGTTGACCAGTTGAAGGGAAATAGTCTAGCAATGCGAGCAGTGTGAAAAGACCAGAAAAACACTGTGATTGGGCATTTCAGCTCAATCCCAACTATTGCTGGATTTTAAATGTGGTTGTTAGTGCAGAAACATCACCTTTTGTTTTTCATTTCATCACAATTTACAAATAATCTATGAATAATTATCAAAAGGTTAGAAAATCTATGAACAGGGAGGAAGGTACTCACCAAAAAGCCTTGCTTCTTTGGCTTCCTTTCCAGACAGAGATGATGTAGCAACTATTTCAGAGCCCTCCATCAAAGGATTGTCACACCATGCTGCAAAAAAAAAACAACACAAACACATAAATGCTCAGGAAGCTGTGACAGGCGCACATATAAAAGGCTGAGTAGATGAAGATGTAGATTGCAAGGTGCCTATGCATGGATAAAATGCACATATTTCTAGTAAGAAGTGAAGGAATATGAAACAAAGTCAGATACAGAGTACTTAACCAACTAAACTGAGATTTACAACATTTGCTTGATAAAGCCAGGAATGAAGGCCTTTTCATGAGCTTTCATATAAAGCACTGGATATAAATTATGCAATATAACAAGCTAAATTCATAGGTACTTACTTGAATGTATAGGTTGAAAGAAAGCACAAAAAACAGCCAAAAGAAGCAGCTTCATTATGCTTTGTAGGAATACCTAACTCTTATCTCTTCTGTATGATTACCAGCAAATAGGTAGCAGAAATGTGTAAAAGGTAAAAATAAATAACCTGTGGAAGAACAGATGCAGCACATAAATGCAACATCATAAATGACACAAATTTCACATCAAGCAATATATATATATATATATATATATATATATATATATATATATATATATATATATATATATATATATATATATATATATATATATATATATATATATATATATATATATATATATATATATAAATACTGCAAGTTTGTATTAAAAAATAAAATAATTGTGTTAAAACTATGCATTTACTTTTACAACTTAATCACAAGACCAGACAAATACTAAGCATTAGATGGTTAACACCCACAGGGCAGGGCACACAAACTCACACAAGGCTTTCAATAACACCAATTAGGTACCTATTGGTCCTTCAACACTTGACATTGGTAAAAATACCCAAGGAAAATCTTTAAACATACATTTTCCGTTTAAATCCAGGCACTCCTCAAAACAACGCAGTGTATCCATTTCTACATACATATGTGAAGCTACTTATGTAAGACCTAGTAACACCTGGCTGGTGTTTCACCTAAGATGACAGCACACATGGCAATTCGGGTTTCCATGGAAGCATCGACAAGCCCATAGCTCCAACACTACCACAAGTATGATGTCAGCTCGCGAAACGCACTGTCAGTGGCTGGCAGCGTGGTGGTGAAACATCCGCCCTGATCTGAATCAAAGATATAGGGACTGGATGGTGGGAACAGCATAAGCTCTTTGTGTTTAAATGAACAAGTTACCACAGAAAAAACATCCTAAAATTGCTATACAAATTCAAGTAGGTAGCATATTAAATTGAAGAGTGACTATACTCTGTTCCATATCAAGCTTGCGGTCGGATTTCCTTCGGCATTTTGCTCCTCAGTTCAATATTTTGCGTCTTTGAATGTAAGAGATGCATATACAGAAATCACGCACTGCCTTCAGCAAGCCTTGCCGAGCAAGGCACTTCGGCTGCAAGCTTGGAATGAAACAGAGTATCAGTATAGTGAGTGCATTGGGCAGGAAGGTAGGGTAGGTACTTATATAACGACCAAATTATGAGGGAAGGCCGAAGGAGCATTTAACCAAATTCTGAGGGAAGACCGAAGGAGCATTTAAAAATAAGACAGTGGACTGAAGAGCAGGCCCAGACCACTGTGAGACCGAATGTGAACGCGTTAATCCATTACAAGCATTTCTTTCCACTAAAAATTTACTGCTTAGCTTACCTAACTACTCGTTGCAGACACCGCCCATCCCATCACATCAATCCCCACACCGCCCCACACCGTGGGAATCTCCGGAATCTCCGCGGAAATCTCCACCGAGCGGCGTATATTTTGATTTGAACAAATAGGGCTGTTCAGAAACTCTGATCTCAAAAGCTCATTGCATTATATTTGCAAGTTACCTGGCAACCTGCTGGAAAAGAAACCGATGATGTCCGTCAATCTGGCAGCAGGTTCAGAAATCTACCAGCGCTGCTACCGGCAGCGAATTCACCGACACTGTCAGCATGGATGAAGGAGAACCTGGATTGGAAACTAACAGCTGATTGCGTTCCCTTCGGTAAGTGCCCGAGGGCACGCGCGGCGGCAGCGGGAGCCGCGTCTGCCGCGCATTCACTGGCGCCGCGTAAGCGTTCACCGGCGCCGCGTAAGAGAAAAACACTAGAAATGGCCCTCTTTTTCAAGGTCGCCTGTATTCGGCCCTCGTGTACGACTTTTGTGCGGAACGGACAATAATAGTTTTGGTCTCATTCGATAGCCTGATCAATTTTGTCTGTCGTAAATAGCTTCTAAACCTAAAAATAAATCCGCATTGCGGCCTAATACCCGTTTCAAAACATGCCGCCCCGCGTCCCCCATAGGCCGTAATGCTTAACGGCGGGAGTTTCCAGTCCCGATACTTACCGAACGCTAGGTGGCAGGTCGATCGCTCGGAACGCTGCCCGTAATGTTGAAGGAATAGGAGTTTCCTATCCAGGTTCTTTCATCCATGCTGTCAGTGTCTTCTTCGCTGCAGGTTCTTATTCTAAGAATCTTGGCTGCAGATTCCCGCGCCCCGTTGGTCAATTCCCGGACCTTAGTGAGTGTGTACTGTGTAGGAAGGGTGTTAAGGTCCCCTAGGGATTTTCAAAATTCAAACGGTGTTAGATGTAAATACTATGTGGCCAAATTTCATTAACCTAGGTGCAACCCATGACGTTGCAGGTCAGGTCAAACGTCGCATTTTAAACCGTTAACAAGCCTTCCAAGAAATGTTTTATAACATCGAGCAAAGGCCAAGATTCCTAAAGATAGCAAAACATCGCTAGATCTTAGAATATTGTTTGTTTTAGGTATATGGTGCTCCACGGCGCAAATTATGGTATCGGTCCCAATATGCAATCCGCTGCCGTTAGAAGCATATTCTGCTACGACGCCGGTGAATTCTGAATCTGCCGGTGGAAGACATTCGGCGAATTCGCTGCCAGAGGGGCGCATAATGTTCCGACAGACCGAATACCACTGCCAGCACGGTCATAGATACTACGCACCGTTGTTTTGATGTCGGCGGACCGTGCCAGCCTGACTGCCAGCAGCACATTCGCAAATATCAATCTGCTACTAGATTGACGGACATAAAACAGGAACTTGAAGTTCGTCGATTTCGGCGCGCCTGGCGCGCATCGTATGGCGCGCATTTTCAAGAAACTCTCATGGCGGCGGCAAGTCTTGCGGCAAGTTGAAGTTTTTAATGAGATCTGAATGACATGTGGAGTTTTGCCTTAAATTTGGAGTGATTTAATAATTTTTGAACAATGCTTCAGGTTTTATGTCATCGCGGCACCCGAAGATTAATGTTTGATGGCGTATGCCGAACCTTTACACTAACTGGCTGATCAAGAAACCCCAAATCTGGGGGGGGGGGGGGAGGGGGGCAGCCGCATAGGTACCCCAAAAAGAAGCCCTCCAAATTAATTTCGATTCCTATTGCACTTTTCTACTGATTGAATCAAACTTTCAGATAAAAGTTGTTAAATCTTTATCTTGCATTACAGAATCGCAACTTTTCGTTGATTTCCGGCGCTGCAGGCAGAGGGGGCATTGCCTCGAATACCCCTGGCGCTCTGTGGCGCTCCCACCAGACTGGTTTTTGATTCACCTTTTTTGGATCGATTCAATCATTGATTCATTTGATTTTTGTTTGATTCAATCACTGTTTGATTCCTTCAAAAAAATTGGTGAATAGATTCCTTTTGATTCAGAGAATCATAAATCAATAAAAGGAATGATTCATGTTTGATTCAGCCAATTTTTTTTGAATGATTCTTTTTTTATTCAATTATAAAATAAAATATACATAATATTAGGGATAGTATTGTATTTGTTGTGTTCTTTTTGTTGTCATGTACCTAATTGCAGTAGTGTTAGTATTTGTTGATAATGAACAATGTTCGTTCATTTCAATTTTTTTAAGTTCATGAATCATTAATTTTTTTTATTCAATCAATCCTGATTCCCAATGCGTTTGATTCAGTCATGGCTTGTGAAATGTGAATCAAACAATCCCAATCCTGACAGTGAATCAAACCTTTTTGATTCAACAAATTTTGTTTGATTCAATCCAATCAATTCAATAACAGATGAATCAAACACCAGTCTGGCTCCCACCAGTGACTATGTGTTTGTAGCTTCAATTCCCCTGTGCCAAGAAATGTTGGTGCCTCTATTGACTATTCTGCTTCATTATTTATTGTATGAGTACTTATTGGGAGATTGATGCATGATCAAAGTGATTTATGTATGTTTGTTGCAGCAGCCAGTTATAGCTATGATGCATGCTGATGTGTGATTATATTTCCTTTTTTGTATGGTAACTGTTCTATGATAAAGGAGTCATGTTAGCAGTTAGGTAGCTAGGTAGGTAGTACCTACCTACCATGAAACTGTGTTTTGCTTTTAATGATTGCTTATTCTCAGTGCACAGTGCACTTTTAAGTCTTTTGTCATAGTTTTTCAATTGTCAACATGCTAGTCTATTGGCATTCCTCATTTTCTTATTGGTTAAGTCCATGGTGAAGTTTGAAAATGTTATTATTAACCAATTGCCAAGTGCCATGAAGTTTGGATCTATGCAGCAAATGGGTCACATAATCATTGAACAAATATGCTGTTGGATGAACATATTACAAATTAACCTGAACTAACATGAGCTGATCTAATTCCTGCCAAACACTTGCCTATATAACACTTAACACCTACAGAGGTAGATCCCTGGAAGATGAAACCAAGGGAGGTACTTTTTTGTTGCCATTTGGTAGTGGATCATTGAAGTATACACCAACTTACTAGGGCTCATGCTGCTGCATTGGACTGCACCATGCGTTCACAAATTCAAGTATCAAGTCTGCATCAAGTGGCAAGTCCTAGATTGGATAGGTACCAATGCATTTTCTTCATTGGTCATATTTGCTTTGCATTGAGCACATTTAAACACAGGTAGGTGTAGATGCTTAAAAGTGAAATCCAAACAAAACCAAGGTGATGGCTTGGCAAATTGGTTGAACAAGTACAATTCAAAATAACAGTTGAGTGTTGAGTTGAAGTGTCTCATTAAAAATAAATCCTTTCAGTCGAAAGTGCACAAGCACGATGCATATCCCCAAAATGGGTAATTGATGCTTTTCAGATCCATTTGCTGGTGTTTGCCTCTTGCCTGAATTGCATTGAGTGGGATGGGAAGGCACTCAGCTTTGTCATGCCACATATTGCTGTTCTAGTCACATATTGCTGCTACCCTGCTGAGGATCTGTTAATTTAACTTTTCTTATTGTTTATCACCTCATTGCATTAAGCTTTTTTGTTCAGTTTCATTATCTTATATACCATTGTAGGGTAATGGAAACTCTAGTTGAATTACCATAAGCACAATTATGATTTATTTGATCCCAAACTTCTTGACTTACATTGCATACCTACTTGCCCATAATCCAAGACATTTATATTCACTTATAATTATGCCTTTCACAGGTGACAAACAGCATAGGGAGCCTGCAGAACCACTGAGAGTAAGATTGGGAACAGCATTGTAATGCCAGGGCACTGCCAGTCCTACAGTCTTGCTTGTTGGTATGCTAGTTTTTGTATATGACTCCTCCTGTTTCATAGACTATAGCCAAGTTGTGACTTGCATTCACTGGCTGGTACCTATAATATAAATCAAAACGATACCAGGTGAGATACAATGGAAAAATTTCAAAAAATTGAAAAGATTGGTGAAGGCACATATGGTATTGTATATAAAGCAAGAGACAAAGAAACGGGAAAGATAGTGGCACTGAAGAAGATCAGTCTGGATGTGTAAGTATTCCATTTTCCTATTTATCAATAGTGCCTGTTATTGATCAATACGGTTTCATCTGATCATGATTCAGCATGCTTTTGGTTAAAGTTTCACATCTAACTAGTTAGTTGTTATAGAAAGCAAGTTATACTTTTCAAGTCACTTCAGCTGAAAATTTGATAACCCCAGTCTAGCTGCTGTAAGCAGCTCTTGATTGTTATTCTACAGCTCTATTGTTGAACATTTTGGTGCAAATTTACCAAACACGATTTGTCTTTTTCTGCCTGCAGCGATTGTGAAGGTGTTCCAAGCACTGCCATCCGCGAGATATCGCTGTTAAAGGAACTCCAACACCCCAACATCGTCGAGCTGCTCGATGTCGTCCACAGTGATATGAAACTCTACCTCGTCTTCGAGTACCTGAATCATGATCTCCGCAAGTTCATGGATCTGGCCAAGCCGAAAGGCATCTCCAAACCTTTGGTAAAGGTAAGGATTTTTTCTTTCAGAGTGGCTTTGAAGTAACAATGTCGCCTTTGTCTCTGAAAGACTTTCAACTCCAGTAGTATCCACTCCACCCCGCAGGCCTAACAGCACTGTTCCTCAAACTGCGGCTGTGTCCTGCAGCGCGGGCCGTTTCCCGCAGCAGTCGAACTCCGTAAGCCGCTGGCTCGGCGTCAGCCGCTGCCCTGCCCTGTCCGCGTCTGCCGCGCGTGTTCACCCGTGTCGGCTGACCGGCGCCCGTGTCGGCCGGCAGAGCCTGCTGTGGCAGATGATGCGCGGCATCGCCTACTGCCACTCGCACCGCGTGCTGCACCGCGATCTCAAACCGCAGAACCTGCTCATCGATAAATCAGGTCAGTCGCGGACCGGCGGCCAGGCTGCGCACCGGGACAGGACGTGCAGGGTTGGACCAGCCGCATAAGGAGGACGCACATTTAAATTGGTGCCTATCCTAAAGCAAGTTAGACGATCTGTTGAACTGTGCTAGTATGAGTGTCTACGTGCTTTCTTCATTCATTATCGTCATGTTTGTGATGTTCATTCTTAGCTGTACGTCATTTAGTAGTCTTATGTCTGTCTCAATCGCACCTTAAAGCAGTGTTTCGAGTTCTCACGAATCTGGTGATGGCCGGTAGCAGCCGACGACTGGTGACCTGTGACGAACAGCCCCTCTGACGGCCCCTGTGCTCGGGCAGGCCGGCTGAAGCTGGCCGATTTCGGCCTGGCGCGCACGTTCGGCGTGCCGGCGCGCACCTACACCCACGAGGTGGTGACGCTGTGGTACCGCGCGCCGGAGATCCTGCTCGGCAGCAAGGTCTACCTGGTGGCCGTCGACGTCTGGAGCATCGGCTGCATCTTCGCCGAGATGGTGAGATGATTACCAATATATTTAACCAAATTAACGCATAGGTAACGTGATGATAATATATAAATCATTTAACGTAGAAAACGAGGTCCTGATATTGATCGTCGAGGTAGTGTTCGAGCTCATTCATTGTGACATGCAACGTGACATTGACATACACGTGACAACTTTTTGATCACACGTGACCGTGTGATCGCCGCTGCCGGCTTCTGAGCGCACTGACCGTGTATGACTATTCGTCCTGGTGCCTTGCAGCTGACGCAGCGGGCGTTGTTCCCGGGAGACTCTGAGATCGACCAGCTGTTCCGCATCTTCCGCACGCTGGGTACGCCCGACGACCGCGTCTGGCCGGGCATCTCGCAGCTGCCCGACTATAAGTCGACGTTCCCGCGCTGGGAGCGCGCGCCCCTATCGGGCGCCGTGCCGGGCCTGGACGAGACCGAGCTGAGCCTGCTGAGCGCGCTGCTCACATACGACCCGGCGCGCCGCGTCTCGGCCAAGGCGGCGCTCTCGCACTCGTACTTCCTGGACGTGCAGCAGGTGGTACCCAGCTCGGGCGCGTTGGACTCGTGAAGACGGCGTGTGTGGGCGCCGTTTGTGAGCTCCTGACAGGTCGAGTGGACCGGTGAGAGACCCGGGCTGTACGGCAGGGGAGGGACGCTCATTGACCGGGCGTTCTGCAGTCCGTGTCCCGCAGTGTCGTCCCCTGCGGCGGTGTGACCGCCACTGTACACTGCCATCCATCTCTCCGGTGACAGCCGGGCCGCCGGGTGGCCAGTGACAGATGACAGGATAGTGGGCAGATGCCACGCGCGCCTTACCCGCCCTCCCAGATAACTATGTGGCGACGGGAGACAGATTTGAGTTCCGAGACACCCGCGGCGAAGATCTCTCGACCAGCCGGCGCGGAGGTCTGCGAGCTCACCACCGGGTTACTGCCGGGCACTGTGTTTGCCGGTGTTTGTGAGGTGTTCAAGATTGATGTTTTCTTTGACGCGGGGCCGAAATACCAGCAGCAGCCGGTTATGAACTTCTGACGGTAAAGTATTCCCGGGAGGCTGTGTAAGACTGCCTTATGCTCCAATCAGCTCACAAGGCAGTTGCCCTTTGATGCTGCTGAGGGTGACATGTCCTCTCACGGCCACCGACCACGATAAAACCTAAGCCATCATTCCAAGTGCCTGAAGAAGAATGTTTTTTTTGTGAGTGTTTGGGCAAAATCATTTGGGAGAAGAGTGTTGTGATTTTCGACGTTTTTACGTGTTATGGTTTCCACGCGTCTCATCAATTCTTCCATACGATGTTGACCTTGCCAATATACTTTTTATGTCTGATGATTTGACCCCTTCTCGAGTTAGACGAACCGCTTCAAACGGCACACCTGTAAGCTGTGACGCTGCCTCGTCTCTGACCGTGCGTTGTACGGCGTCGAGCGGCGTTAGTCCATGGACGGGATCCTGCGAACGGCACAACTTAGTACATACCCTGGTGAGTGGCCAGTCTGGGCGACTGAGAGTCCTTACACGTTGTAAAAGTGACTGGGTACTACTCAATGGGATTACCACTTACACGTTACACACTAACTCCTCAGTGGGCTGACACTCCGCACTGCGCCACTCGGGACGGGCCGCCATGGACGGGCGCCCTGCCCTCCCCGGCCCTGGGTGGGTTGTCGGTCGGGCTCTGGATGGGCTGTCGGCGGTGGCTGGCGGCCAGCTGGGTCAGATGTGGCTGGCAGGGGCGACCCTCTCCTCCGCCAGCCAGGCGCCGAGGGTCACTGAATCTCCAGGGTGGCGCGACCCGCGCACCGGCTCGACGCTGCTGACCTACGGACGGACCCTGGGGCATGGCATACGGCAAACGAGCGTCTGCCGTCTACAAACCAACCCCTTATCGATTTTAAACAAGCTATCGTTTTTTTTATAGAAATGTTAACAATTATTTAGAAGAACAGTTCGAGAGATGTGTCAGTCCTGTATTAGGTTTATCTTTACTTTCCCATCTTTTTTTTCTTTAGTTGAACTACGTCTCGAGGGACCCATCGCCCTATCACTGTGTGACAAAGTAGCGCGATGAGCCGCTAAGAGGTCCGCTGAAGTTTGGCGATAGGCGGCGTGTTCACTGTGCTGGGGCCGTCACTCACAGCTGTCCGTGAAATGACTCCGTCGGCGACCTCCGATTGGCGACACGCTGGCGACACAGCTGTCCGCGGATTCCGCTGTCAGCGCGCGGCGGCCGGCCCTCCCCGTGACGGACGGATGGACTCCGGGCGGGCGCGGCGGCGGTGCTCTCGGGCCGATGTCACCCCGACGCCCAGATCAAAGCGCGGCCTCCGCCGACTCGGCCGGTGGCCCGTGGCAGCGGCTGCTCGGCGCCGAACATAACATGCCCGCACCTGTTACACAGCGCTTGTCGGCGGCCGGCAATACGACCCGAGTTTTGGCAACACGTCGAGTGAGTGTCGGGTAAGTGTTTACAGAACCTTTGCTTTACAACCGTTTACTTAACCCCTCATGTGTAACCTGCACCTCTTGCTCAATGAATGGGCGGATACTGCTAAAATGAATTAATCCAACCCACTTATCGCGGGTAATGACCACTCTATTCTGGATGATCCATCAATATCTCATCGCTCTCCGCTCGGCCTTCCCTGGATAAACAGCGCGCCGAAGCCCCACTGGCAAGCGACTGGATTCTCATCTCCAGAAAGGCAACACAAAAATACCCGTGGGCCATGGCGCCGACGCCGCCAAAGGGTGTCGCGTTTCTGCGGTGACGCGTCGGCCGGCGCCGCGGCAGCAAACGACTGGAATCGCGGCGCGTCGTTCCCGGCGGCGCGGCCGGACGGAAATAGCCGCGCGGTGCCGGTGTCACGGCGTGTCGCAGCGCCGGCCGACGGCTGTCCGTCGGCCGGCGCAGTCGCCGCCGCCGCCCGGACCCGACCGCCCGCACCTGCCGCCGACCCGCACACTCAGACAACAACCATGTCGGACGAGGATGAGAAGTTCTCGGTGAGTTGCTGGCCGCTGGAGCCGTGCCGCTGCGCAGCAAACGCCGGCAATTGTTAAAACATGATTAACTTTGCTATGCCTGTCTGCATGTGTAGCATCAACGGAACAGCGATCATTGTGTTTGTTGCTGTTTGGATAGGAACTCAATAGCCTCCCCTAACCCCACCCCGCTCCGACTGCTCGCAGGAAGAGACCGGCCTGGAGAAGGAGCAGATTGTCGTGCTGCGTCGCGCCTTCGAGAGCTTCGACAAGGACAAGCAGGGCTTCATCACGGCCGTCACCGTCGGCGACATCCTGCGCATGATGGGCATCAAGGTCTCCTCGTCCTCACTCAAAGCCATCATCGAGGAGATCGACGAGGACGGTACGGAACAGAAGCCGATGCATTAGCAATAGCACCGCGGTTGATAATAATCCACAGCTAAAAATCGAGTATCAACTGATCGTTCTTTGTTTTGTTTTGTTTTTCAATTTTCATCATGGAAACAGGAAAATGATGGTGAGCAGGAACGAAGCAACGCTGAATAGCATTTCCTGAAGAAATAAATCTGCTTGTTTACATAGTAACACGGCAATGGCGTATTTTGAA